CAAGTTTTGTGCAAAAACGCATGATCGCTCCGGCTCGCCTGGTGCGTTCCAGCCTAGGTTGCATCTGATACGTTTACAGTTGCTTTGATTAATGTGTACCGCCTAGTAGCCAGCCTGTAGGCGGTGGATGCCAGTTTTTCCGCCCCGAAAGGACTATCAACTCGACGATTTCTTCGGCGTAAGCTTTTGGTAAGCCGTTTCGAGGCGTTCACTGGTGTATGATGAGCTTTAACACCTCATCCTGAATGTTGCTACTCTTCAAGCACACAGCAAAGCACCTGCCCATAAAAAAGATGTTACAGTTTACTGTTTTTTGCTCAACATGTCAATTTGCAGCAGTTTTTATTCTCCATCAGGTTCTGAAAACAGCCTGAGCCTTTCATCTTTTCCTGATGCGCACAGTGAAACACAATTTCAGTCGATTATCACCGAAGGATTTACTTCACCATCTCTATGGATTCTCCTGGGCTGAGCTAGCCCAGACCTGAGTGGAGCGGGGAGAATGCTAGTTGTATTGGTTGTTAGAAGTTCAGCCTTATACTGCTAGCTTTATATTAAAGCGTCACAATATTTATTCCTTTCATGCATTTTATTCCTTTATTACTTTCAGTTTATCAGTTAATCCGGGCACTTTGTATGGCGCATTTGTTACGGTAATCCATCGGTATCGATTAAGTTCATTTTCAGGTATTCACTGCGAGTAAGGATGCGTCCTTTCCAGAGGAAAACACGATAATCTCCTTTTCGGATTCCAGTTCGTAATGGAGACATTTTGTTGGCTAAAACTCGGACTAGTCCTAACTGAAGGCTCACTGTTGCGGGACCAAAACCACGTAAACGTCCGAATTGCAACGTAAGTTCGCGTTGTATTCTTCGGCATACCTCGTTCAAAACCTAAAACAAAGCACATTTTATAGATCCAGAAAAAACAAGAGGACTGTAAGTTGCCGACATCAAAAACCAGAAATGCACCAGACCGGCATTCTTTCGTCGTTGAAGACATCAAAAAACTCCAGCGGACCGGAAAGCGGATACCAGGATGGGCCGATTCTCACTGATTCCGTTATTATGACGCGTTTTGTCTATAAAAATTATAAATTTTTGTCAGCGTAGTCGTGAATATTATCCTAATTACGGCCATAATTATCTCTATCTCAAGCACTGCTCTTTTGGACTTCGTACGTAGCTATTTGGTCTCTACTACATTACTCATGCTGACAGTAGTCAGAACCACTCAACTCTTGCAAAACAAAATATGATACAGCGCCTTCTCGATATTTTCTGAGTTACAGAGAATTGTAAAAAAGAGCCGCAAAAAGCTAGCAAAAAGACTACCCAAATTCGTATGCAGATACAAGGTAGAGATGGTGCCAGATTAATCATGATGTACGTGGGCCGATGGTGCGATGATTTAATACTCATATAAAGACGAATGGTTCAGTGTTTTCCTGGTTTATATTGAATTGCGAAAGAGAAACATCTCGTTGCCGGAAGAAAACAACATAATTTTGGTTGACTTAAGCACTGACAATAACAATCGCTCAAGCAGCCTTTTAACTTGATAAAAATGATTAGCTACACTTTTTGAAAAATGTTGGAAAAGCAAGATGAAGGCAGTTTGATCCCGAAAGAACAGACAAGGAAGCTAAATTTCCCAGTGAAATGGCTCGGCCGGAACTTAGCGTGAGGCGCGATAATGTTTTTCTTCGACATTGGCAAAAATTTCACAAATCACCAATTTGACAGTTCGAAAAAAGCCTTTCTAAAGCCATTGAATATGGAAATAATCCCAAGAAAGCTGAATTGTTTACGGATGAAACAAGGCTGTCGGCCAGTATTTTGCCATTTGCCATCAACATTTTGCCGAGATCTGATAACACTTGGATCTATTACTCATGCATTTTATTAAATGACTGTATTATTAAGAGAAAGGCCAAAAACCGTCGGCAGGAGATGGACATTGGCC